ACTTGCAAAAGAGCATCTTTACGCTCAACTATTTTATAGTGTTTTTTACTCTGGGCACTGACAAGTCAGCGGCCAATCTGACTCATAGGGGTCATTCTGGTGATGTCCTTGCAGCATTTCAAACGATGCGAGAAAGCCTGAAGCCTAAATCTTACAGCTCTTTGGATAATTTTGCTTCGAGTGCGAAGCTTAGCCAGCATAATTACTCTAACAGTATAAAGCAAAATCGCTCTTTGATCTCAGCTTCTGTGTGTAACGCTCAAACTGTTCCCTGTCAAATTCAATTTATAAGGCTTGATCTTGTTACTATTTGTATTTTTAAACCACATGAACTTCAGTACATTATTTCTCGTGACTGGAAACTATGGCCTGAATTTGCTCTGTTAGGATCTGGCTTTATTTTTCCCATCTGCATAAGCTCTGTGAATGTATCCATGAATACTGCTCCCATTTAGTGGCCTTAGAGAGCTTTTTCCTCATCGTTGTTAGGGAAAGGTTAATCACAACTTTTTGTAGTTCTAGATCTGGTATTATGAGCTATGATTAAAAACATAATTTTATCGTAGACAGATGTCAGTGCCGTTAGCCTGGAGAAGTTGAAAGTATATACCTACTAGTTCTGAAGCGCGCGTGTACATATGAATGAAAAAACCTGTTTGTATGGTTCTTGACTGCGTAAGGATCTTGAGGAAAGCATCTAACAACTACAAGTACTATTTTAGACTCCAAAACTGTTGAGTGCTTGTCTAGCAGCTGTAGTAGTGTTCGCCTATGCATAAGGAAATGTTTGCCTAACTTTTAGAGACTTTCTGAGGAGTTAAGCTACAGATTTTCCCCATCACTGCCGTTAACGTAGTAGTCATCCATAACTGCTATAAAACACTTGAAATCAGGCTTTGATTGAGTTCCTCACTTCAGCTAACGGTCTTAGCTATCGGACTTTTTTAGCATCTGTACAAGACGTAAAACTTCCCTTGTTGGGTTAGATCCTGAGCTGCAAATTAGACTAGGCAGTAGCTATAACTGCTCTGCTGCTGCTTGTTGCAACTCTCATGACTTGTGGAAACCTGAGACTTGTTGATTCCCTTTTTGTACTGGCAGTGACTTGGCTTTGCATAGGTTACTGGTTCTCTATATCGCTCCCTTAGTGAAATTTGAATCCTCAGATTAAAAAGGAAACTGCCCTTTTAAAGGGTTTTGCTATTGCTGCTGTTGGTTAAAGTCTAGCCTGGAGTATTGTTTCTGGAATAGCACATGATTTTGCCAACAGAATAAAATTGGGGCAGACAAGTAAAACTAGTTAGCCACCTGAACTATTCCAGTATATCAAAAAAAACCTGTCCATTTTAATCACAAAGTTTATGAGGAGTAACTTCAGAGCAAGTTACCACTCCATTAATTTGGTGAAGGTTTGTTGCAGTGCGTTTCCTTAAATTCAGGAACAAGAGGGGCTCTGTAAGAAGTGTAGCTGAATTTAGGTGCCAAGCATTTGCACCTTGTCCCCTGGGAAATGAGATGTCTTGAACAGAGCACTGAGTGAGTTGAACTATTTACTGGATGTTGTAATCAGATGAATACATCGCTGCATTTGAGAAGTATACTGTTTTAACCCTGCAAACCGTACGTTAGGTCTGATCACAGTACATTCATGAATTTTACTCTGAGTTAAACAGACTTGACTCCAATTTAAGCTTTGATTTTGTTGAAGTAGTTGTCTTGATTAATGATTTTTGTTTGGAAATGTTTTCATTGCTACTCCTTAAGCTAAACTCTAGGAGATATTTGCAGACCTGCTTATTTCTGTAGTTGACTTAACGGTATATGTCCTGAGTAATTAGTTGAGTAACTTATGAACAGTGACTTAGGTCAGTTCTTTGAGGTTATTGCAATGGAAGTATTTACACATAATCATTAAACTTATAGCAGCAGAGTTCCTACTGGCTGGGAATTGGAACAAGCAAGTAGCTTGTTCTTAGCGCAGAAAAGCTTTAGACATAGAAACAAGGAAAATAAACCAGCATTAATAAATGGCTTGTCTTGTATTTTATATAGTGATGATAAATCAGATGAAAGGCGGTGGTGTTTTTGCATAATTCAATAATAATTTTAAGTTATTTGAGACTGTGTAGACTTCTGTAAAAGAAATAATCAGGTGAGCTGCAAAAATGATTCTGAACGCCTCTCTTAAATTTCAGCTTTCTTGAGTTTTCTTAGAAATCGTTTTGGGAAAGATCGCGTAGAGAATTAAATCCAGGTACATTACATGAAGTGTGAAGCTAATATTTTTCCTTTGTTTTCTAGTTCACTTAAGAGCCTTCATGATCCGTTCGTATGTTGCCTCTAGGAAAGCTGCAAGCACTTTATGAGCTAGTTTAACTCAGCTAGTATATACAGACTAGAGCAGTACAGAAAGCTTTTGTAAACTCTAAAGCTAAAGGAACGTCAGATTAATGCAACAATTTCTAAATTAAGCAGGGATCTTACTGAGAGATCAGCTAACCCTTCGTTTTCTTTGTTTCTTTCTATCTGTACAGCGAAATTTCAGTAGATCCAACTTATGAACTTGGTTATAACTCTTATGCACTCTCAGATACTAATTGTTAGCATCATATTGTCTTATTGGAAATCTACCTAGACAAAATATTTTCATATTACAGGGCACTGCACATTTTGATTTCTTTAAAAACATTTCAGCTCAGATTTCATGAAACCTATTTGGTGTGTTTTCACTCTTGGAAGTGATGTTATGCAATGTGTATGTTCACGTAAATATGTTTCCAATATCTGTATGCTCCTTACAGGAACTAAGTGATCTGCAGCGTGACCCGCCGGCCCACTGTTCTGCTGGACCTGTTGGAGATGACTGTAAGCTCTTTGTAGTATATTGCTACAGTTGACCTTTTTTCCATTAAGAGCAAACTCAAAAGAACTCTAATCGTTGTATCTTTTTGACTTTCAGTGTTTCATTGGCAAGCAACTATTATGGGACCTGTAAGTATATAGATCTTGTAAGATCTTGTTTTCCTTTTGATTACGGAAGGAATCATTTGGGTGTCTGTAAACATAACGATCAAATTCAGCTGTGCCACGTGCAGATTAAATATTTAAATGTGGCATTGTTGCTGTTCTTAGTAATCTGGTACTAATTTCTTTCTATAACTCTTCAAAAATCCCTCCTCCTTCTCCTGTTTTCGAAATCAGAGATGTTTAATCAGTCAGCCACAATGTGTGAATCAGAGATGTGCTGTGAACTGTGAAAAGCTTGCTTTCCAAAGATGATCATTACAATTCTGAAAGAGTCATCTATCCCAAAGGTGAAATAATTGATGTAATACAACGTAAAAGTTAGTAACTGCAAACGAGAGTGGTCTTGCACAAGGAGATTTGGAGGCTTTCAGATAGTTGGAGCTCATTTGATGGCTGTGAGGTGGCTCTGCCAAAAACAAATGACTTTTGGGAGCTGTAGTCCAGCAATTGTGCCTGCTTTCGGCTTCTACATGAGAAAAGCCTGCTTTCCTCAGGCTGAGGGAGATCTCTAAAGACTGAAGACTCTTGTCAAAAGAATTATGTAACAAAGGGTAGGAATGCTTAAGGAAAAGTTATGAAGCAATCCTGAAAAGGATTTCAGCAAAGAGAATGAAGAGGAACGTGACCTGAGGGAAGGGGTGTTTGTTAATACCACGGTAAGTTTGTATTCCTACTGTTTTCCTTTTGGACTTCTTGCTAACTTGAAAAGAGGAGTTTCTGGTTCAGATAGTGAGCTGAACCAGTCCACGAGTCGGAAATTTGAGTCAGTACTTAATCCAGTGACATACAGCTTCACATGTTGGAAAAAATTGAATTGTGGCTGCTTTGAGACAGTGTTTCTGCATCCTCAGCACCGCTGCTCTGTGTCAATGAAAGATGAGTTATTAATTTACCAGTGAAATGCTGGAGCCTGTTGCCCAATTTGTCAGTCGCCCAGCAGCAACTCCAACGCTTGTGATAAGCTTTTCTATAGGATGCTAAAAGTTGTGCCATTGTTCTTTACAAACTGTGACTTCAGTGGGTCGTTGCCCCTGCCCCTGCTCCTCTGCACTGCTTAAAGGTGAGTGGCAAAATAGCAAAGAATATAGTGTTAAGGAAAGCTTATGTGTTGATTGTCCCCGGTATTATCTCTTTCTGAATGACCCAGTGACCTGAACAAGGGAAATACTAGCACATAAATCCCAACTTGGCTTCTTTTTTTCCCAGTTTGCAGTTCACCTTTAATAGCCTATAGGGCAAAATGGTCTTTTCTTCCCTTAAAGTTCCTTAGATTTCTCTAGTTCCGGGTAAGAATGAGACTCCCTTGCCGGCCTTTTTCAGCCTTATCTGCCCAAAAAAGCCACACTATCAGCATGTTATCCTTTATCTTGATAAGAAAATCAGATGTAGCTTCTGTATACTTCCTGATGGGCTGAGGGGAGCATAGGACTAGAGCTTACCTTCAGAGTTCACTTCCGATGCGCGGAAGTAGGATAACCTCTCCTCCTGTCTCTGGGCGTCATCAATTTGTTTTGTATACCTTACCCGCCAAACATAGCATGACTTCACTTTGCCTTCTCTCTGACGCTGAACTTGTCTGATCTTCAGCTTATTTTAGCTTTGACAAATCCATTTAGTATGCATGCAAGCAATGCTTTCAAACCTAATTGGAAGTACAGTCGCAATCTCTTCTGGTGTTACCTAATGCTGACTTCTTAGCAGTACTATATATAACCTGTCTTACGTTGCCACACTGTCTGCATTTTGAGTGCATACGAAGACCTGTCTTAAAATGAACCATTTGTGGCTTTACATATTACGTTCTTCTCTACAGCTGTAATTTTTGCTCATTTCTATGGTCAACCTTTCTTTTAAGAATAGACCACCTTTCCTCTCATAAGGAAACCGAAAACCTGATGTCCTACAGCTTGGCTGAGACTGGGTACCTACACGGCTGTTTTAAACTTTTCAAAGTAATGAGAGCTTCCCTTAATCAGAAATTGCAGGGTTGCTCTCCGTCACTTAGTGTTGAGACTTTCCTCCCCTTTTGTAGTTAATGGGAAGGAAAGGTGTCCTCAACAGATGACTGCAACAGGGTTACTTCTGCCTGTTAACTGTGTGCAACCTGGACCTAAACCTGTGCACATGTTCTCTAACAAAATGCATGTTCACAGATTTGTGCAGGTCACAAAGATGTTGTGTGTTTTAAAACTCCCTGATGTCAACATGATCAACTGAGTTATGTTGGAAAATCCTACTCTTTGCATCTGCAAAGAGAAACCACTTCTTGAGGTAAGTATATCTGTAGCTTAAAGGTGGAGGAAGATCCTGAATATAGCAGAGCAGCTGTGATATTGCACGGAGGCAGGATTTGAAAGACCTGCTCTGGATTTTGTGTTCCCTTTGGTGCCCTGGAGCTAAGCTCTGGGAGTACCTTGCAGTCAAGACACTGAGCAGGGAGCTATTTTGGAGCAGAAGGATCAGCAGCTTTGCTCCACCAGTCCAACACTGCTCCCTTGCTTTCTCTCCCCGAGAAGGGCAGCACTCGGTAGCTGTGTTGGGCTGCTGCAGTAGTAGCCGTGCTTGGCTCTGCCATAGCTCTGCAGACCGGTGGGAGGATGCCGTTCCCTCAGTGTCAGCTCTGTGCCTTCCCAGTACACAGCCTGTTGAGTGGGCTGCGTGCTGGGGGGGAAAAGGAATTTTCTAAAATACTTGTGGCTTTGGGAGGTTCTCTGCATTCAGAAGGGAAGTACCAAAATACCTGAAATATGTTAACGGTTTGCGTTTGTTTGTTTTTCAGCCAGATAGTGCATATCAAGGCGGAGTATTTTTTCTCACGGTACACTTTCCAACAGACTATCCTTTCAAACCACCAAAGGTAAGTCCTTTCTCTCAGAAGTTATGCAAGTTCTAGGTCAGGGCTTTTTTTCAATGTCCTAACTGTTCAGGGGCTCACTTTAGGGAGCTGAAACCAGACAGACCAGCGATAGGGTACGTGTCTGTAATGAGTAAATAGATGTGACTGAATCCTGAAAGTGAGTGATAGGATGAGAGACTGTACAATAGAACGTGTTGGGTATGGTCTAGTATGACTGGGAACGGAAGGGATAGTATTTAGGTTTCCAACTGTAATAAACAAGATTTGATGTTAACATCTTGTGTTGTTTTAAATTCCAGATTGCTTTTACAACAAAAATATACCATCCAAACATAAACAGTAACGGGAGTATTTGTCTTGATATCCTGAGATCACAGTGGTCACCGGCTCTGACTGTATCTAAAGGTAAGTGCACAGGTGTGGTAGTGAATTTATGAGATTGCATAAGGTTCCATGGTATTTTCTTTGGTGTTACTTCAGTGTCTGAGGGTAGCAGCGGGAACTCCGTTATCCCACACACTAACAGAAGTGGCAAATTCCACTGGAATCCTTATTACAATCCAAAACCTATCACAAATTGTTTGGAGTGTCACATTACATAATAGATTGCACGTGTGGCAGGGAAATATTCTAAAACAAGTTGGGTAGGATCATAAAGGTCCAGTTAGCCTGAAATGTAACTTTTGTGTTATAGCTGAGTGTGCACAGAGAAATGAGGAGGAACTGGTTTTTGATAGATGACAGAGCTGCAAAATCAAATGGATTTGGATGTAAATGGAAAGCACTGATACTGACATGTGCCTGGGCTTACCTGACTGCGTACTGGATTTTTTGGATAGCTTTTTGGGTTGCTTGAGCATCCTTGCTTGGGCTAAAGTTTTATTCTACTTTTTTTTTAAGGGAAGATGCGTTGTTCTGGTTTGCTTTCCTCTGTAAGGTAAATATTTAAAAATGTAGTTGCTTTCCAGATCATCAGTAAAAGATTTATTACGCTATTTTAGTGCTTTATTTAAATTTTCTTAGGTCTGAAGACTGTTGATTCTTGGAATGTTGAGATTATAGTTAGGCGGTTCTTTCATTGTAGCCTTTTTGTGTCACTTGAAAAGCTGCTTAAAATGTGGGTGCTATCGTTGCTTTTCTCACCCGTATTCAAAATGCTTAGCCACGCTCTCAGTCGTGTTACAGAAAATTCTCAGGTGTCTCAAAGTTTTAATCAATATTGCATCTTGCTTAAGAGCTCCCTAAAGTATGTTTCTCTCTTTTTAAGAGCAACGTCATTGTTTTGTTTGGTCAGTTTGATGTATGAGCAAGAAAAAATTGTCTGTCCAATCAAAACTGCTCTATGCAAGTGCAGTTGTTGTACCTCCTTGGAAAAGCAACTGCGGCCCATGCACATCATCATGTGCAATAACCTTAGAAGCTAAGTAAAATCTAAGTTTAACGCTCTTTCCTGATGTAGCTACTGAAGAAAGGCATGACTTGTGTGTAGCTGATACCAGCTCTCCACAGAACTAGCTGGTTGTTGCATTGCTGAGCAAAAATCATCTCGTTTCCAGTTAGTTAGAAGGCACTTAACAAATGAGGGTTGGCATTTATATCTTGCCTAACGGTCAGCATTTAGGACTAAATAAACCTCTGAATTTTCAGGTCTTCTGTACTTTTCTGTAAGTGTTTTTACCTCTTGGTGAGTGCTCTTTCAGTCTTAAAGAGGAGCAGTCTGCTGGTCTTACGTGGTCTGAGCTGAAGAGCTTTTAGCGTCCTTGCACATTACGTACCTTAAACTGGGAATCAGCTCAGTGGCTCGTGGAAGTTTCTCCTTTATGGTTCCTGTTTTCAGTGAATCAAGGGATTACAACATATCTGATAGTAACCTCTGATTAGTGTGACCAGGTATTATAACTTGATTTCTAATATTACCAATGTATTTGGCACTTAATAAAATTGAAATATGTCAGTATAAAGTGGCTGAGCTTGCTACAGCCAAAAATGGGTATTAGTTCAGGTTGAACTCTTTCGTAACCAGACAAAGCAAGAAAACCTTGTATTTTCCAGCAGCTAGTTATTGACGTTAACTTAATGATCTGGGGAACTTAACAGGTGTCTAATTCCTTTTAAGCAATTCTAAACATCTTATAAACTGTGTACTCCTGGGTCAGTAAGTACAGTGTCAAAAGTTCTGTATTTCTTTCTGGTCATGAGTCATTGCATATGTTTTGACTTGCCTCTGGTTTTTCCAGGACAAGATCTTGAACAGATTTTGCGCACCTGACTTTTTATGCGATTGATGATATAAATGCTGGAAATGTCACCAACCACCTTTGTTTACTATAAATTATTAAAACACTGATACAGTGTATGCAAATATTCATATTAGTTCTGCATATAAAAGTAAAAGTTTCCTGAAATATATATATATATACTGCAAGTGTTGTAAAAAAATCAAACATCCTTTGTCTGATACCATGGGAAATGAATATGGAATTAAGAAGTGCATACCTGTATATAATACTGATAAAGTATCCCCCAAAATGGAAGTCATGCTTGAATCACATTAAGTGAAATGTTGATATGAAGGAGAGAGTAACTTTGTCAGCACAGAAGTGGGGAAGGATGTGCAGAAATCCAATATTGTGTGGTAGTGTAACATTAATGATAAATAATTGGAGGTGGAAGGGGGCTTAGTTTGATCAAGTATTCATAGAGAACTGTGTAGTCTGTAGTTTGTCCGATGTTCACAGGTTAAAGCATGGGAGAGAGATCAGTACAAAAATTACAGGTCCACGGGTTGCAAGCTGTCTAGGCTAGTGATCAGAAAAATGGTCCTGGTCTTGTATAAACATTTCTGAGCAGAACTGCTGTGTAAAAGCTTAATACTAAAATGCATTTCCTTTCCACCCTTCTTTTCCTTCCCCCTACTTCAGTATATTGGAATATATTAAAGGACTGTAGAAATAAAGTAAAATGACACGTTTAACCTGGTGTCTCTTTTATTTAGTTTTATTGTCCATATGCTCCTTACTTTGTGACCCTAATCCGGATGATCCTTTAGTACCGGATATTGCACAGATCTACAAGTCAGACAAGGAAAAGTGAGTATAACAGAGATGTACGTATTTTGTGTACATGGATATACATATTGTGGATGTGTAGTACTCGCAGATGCTTGTCTGCTATACAACCTTCTACCTAAACTTTTCAAGATACTCTCTTCATAGATTTCTACAGTATAAAGGAGTAGATGTTTAAATCTTGAAGATATCTATCCATGGAATGGCAAGCAAGAAACTGTTGGATACTAATTTTTCGTATTTAAAGCTGCAGAAAAAATTCGCAATGTTACACTAAATGTTTATATTCATTTTTCATTGCATGAAAAATCCCTTCTCAAATATAAATTATTTGTTGCTGTGGTGGTCCTCCAATTCTAAAACCTATGCATTTGTTAAAAAATTAGGTGTGAACTGTGGAACATATGATTTGACACAATTTTATAAATGTAGCATGGGCTAATATTCAGCTCTTTTTGGTGTTAGTGTCACATTTATTGCAAATGGCAACATCTTACAGAGGAAAAAGCCTCTTCTTTCTGATTTTTGGAACAGTTGTAGAACTTGTGGGAAGTTTCTAGTATTGGGAAGGTAACATGGACGGCACATAACTGAAGTATTGCATACTTCTCAAATCAAAATCAAATTTGATCCAAAAGTTTTAACTGAAAGTATTGTATTGACTGCAACTTCTATTCTTGGGTCTCTTACTTCTAGTGCAGAACCATCTGTATTTCCTAAAATGCAGTTTTGAGGCTTGCTGACTTCTTCCTGTTGTACTTCCCTCCTAAGGAGGGTTTTGAAATGCTGTGATAGAAGTACGTACACGGCTGAACCCTCAGAGTATCAGATAACAGGATTTAGCCGTCACTAGTAAGTCCGGTGCTTTGGCGTAACGACGTTTCTTTCCTGAGCGCTACTTCTACAGAGCGGTTCCTGTGGGCGCTCAGACTTTTCAGTAGTGACGTCTGTTGATAGCTAAGCAAACTTATGCATAGATTTCTTAAGAGTTCGTCGCAGATGTGGGTGACTGGAAGCTCAGGCCCCTTGTGCTGCAGACTAAGACTGCGTGGTGTCTGAAGGGTTACATGGAGGAAATATTACTTCTGAGCGATTTTGTATCTCTGCTGCTTTCTGCTGATATATCAGCTTATTTATTTCTCCCAGGCTTAGAAATTATACTCCATGCATAAAAGAAGGTTACAGATTCAGTGATCCAAGAAGTACAAATTACTCTGCTTACTACTGGGAGATTCTGTGGGACTCTACTGCTTTAGGTATTTTGAGCACAATCCAGGATGCAGTCTTACCAGTATGGCCTGAGCTGTCTTCTCTAACAGCATTTTCATGCCTGTTGCTTTCCTAGGTGTGTATGAGAGTAAGTAAGCCTCGATGAAGAGATCAAGCTAGGACAGTGACAAAGAGTAGGAGGGTCTAAGGTTTTCCAGACACGTCCAGCGTTGAGTCCTAATTTACCAAGAATGAAATAACCTTCCCCAAAATGAATCCGCTACAAAATTTCTGGTGGCCTCGACAAGAAATTAAATAGTCATAGCCATGCAACACGTTTATGAATAGCCTAAACACCACTTATTATCTGACTTTTTGTTGAAGCGACTGAAATTGTTGTCATTAATTCAGTTTGGGGCAGGTCATTCTATCCTCAGTACTTAAGCTGATTTTTGGTAAACTTGCTTTTAGCTGTTTCAACTGTTAGACTCCCTGTTTCATGTTCTCTGGAATTCTTGTGTGATATCCAGAAGACTTGCTGATCTTCTGGTATTTTTTAGTCCTGAGCCACTGAAGAACTTGTTGAGATGCATGAAAAAGGCCTATAGTTCATCACATATCACACTCGTGAAGATTTAAGTATTGCTTTTACCTGGAGGCCTGGATAGAGAAGGAATGAGGTAGAAATTAGAAGTCTGTGATCTAATATTTGGAATGAGCCTCTTGCCCAGAGTGAGAATTATTAAGATGGCCTTTTCCTGACAGCTCTATGTCTGTAAAATCAAGTCATGTGCTCCACTTCTGAAGGGCTTGAACTTTGTGGCTTGTACTGCAAGGCAGATAATCCTCAAATTGAGGATGTGCCTCAGCCTCTGCCCATCCACTTGCTCAATACTGCTTTCAGCTATCGTGCCTCCTGTTTGTGACTGAGGTGAAGAAGGGAAACTTGTCTGTCTCCCAAACTAGAAACTTAATCATTGTGGGATATACAGAGAAGGTGAAATTCTTGACTGAAGGGCTTATCTTTTTTTCTACAAATCACCTACTGATTGTTTACTCTTATCTCAGATTTGGGAAATGAAAGATATGGCTGATACGTATGAGCATCTATCTCCGGATTTTTTAGCGTGTGCTAAAAATCCAGACTTGTATGATAGCATATTCTTAGCAACACAAACGAGTAGCACACGAGTTGGTATACTGAACTTGAGAAATGGTTTGGGGGAAGGGAGGAGGGGAACTTTTCAGTGTTTCTTCTAAAGAACCCAGAAGATGAATCTAGTCTGAAGAGTGGAATGTAACGAATGTAAGGACTGAAGGGAGAGTTAGTTAATGATTCTCTGAGGACACTTACTTCTGGGAGTGCTAGTTAGCTTCATACCAGAAGGAGAAGACCAAAGAGTTAAAATCTATTTGCAAATTTTTTTTTTCTTGAGAAATTTTCCTTTTAAGTTCAAACAGCAGTGCAGAATGGAGAATTAAAAAAAAAAAAAGCTCTCCTTCAAAATTAATGCAGAGAACTGCAAGCTTCCTCAAAAAGCTTTCCATCCCAACCCTTTCCAAAACCAGTTAGTTTTACTGAATTTTATGCTGTTAGAGTAAGCTTTGTGAAGTTGCATACACATTTGGTAACGATCAGCAACAAATTTCTATTAATATGCAAGTAATGGAACTAGCAGTGAAATGCAAGTGAGATATGCACACTGATGCGCGTTTCAATACAAACCTGTATTAAAACCTAAGAATGTTCTGAGCTTCAGTCAAAATTCTTTTGATAGGTAACCTTAGAAGCTAAACATACAGTGGGTATGTGTTATTTGTCTTTTAGACTTTTTTTGACATAATATGAATCAATTGTAAGAGGTGATAAGCTCAGTAAGGTCTGTATTAAGCAAATACGTGGGCATTGTCAATGTATCTCTAACAGATCTTCACTGTAATGCCTTCTTTCTGCACGTACAGATACAACAGACATGCAAGAGAATGGACTCAGAAATATGCAATGTAAACTTGTGAAGACTTTTTCATATACCACAGAGTACTGTAAATTCTAGGATTTTTTTTTCAAATTAGAAGGAAATGGAGCACAGTTTACCGTTTCAGTGTACCATAATGCCCTTTTTTTTCCTGTTTTGTTTTTTAACCCATGTAAGTGTGCTTCTGGAACAAGGGAAAACAAACTTCCAAAAAATAACCTTATGACTGTGATAAGAATATTTATCTTTTTTGTATGCTTGCAGAAGACATTTATTATGGTTTTTAAGAGTTGGACATCTGCATCTTCAGACTACAAGATCCATAATGCAGTTGTAAAGCAACCAAAATATTTTTGCTGGAGAAAGCTGTTTTTACGCGATAAATACTGTATGTGTGTCTTTAAGATATGTTGTCTGTTTCACAAGGGTGTTCAAACTTCATTTTGTTAGTTCACTTATATGATTTGTATTTTTTTACTGTATAGACTAAATATATTTTATTTACCATGTAAGTCGATTCATTTTAGACTTACTTGTGCACAGTATTGACAAGATGCAACTGCTAGTAATGAAAATAATCGGGGTATCCCACCTGTTAGGATATTCTGAAGACTGACTGCAGATTTCTTAAAACCTAAAATGATCTTTGCACTGTAATTCTTAGTAGGCTGATTATGGAGAAACACTTGTTTTTGATTTTGTTACATACTTGACTTAATTTTATTGCAATGTGAACTAATTGCACTGCTATGTAGAAAGATATGTAACCTTTTTGTTGCTATTCACACCTGATTTTTCCCTGTGGGCAACATAACATTCTCACAGACCTTTTACAAATCTAAATGTAGCCTTTTCCATATAAATAAAATGCATTTTCTACTACTTCTCTTGGCTATTTTTTTTTTAAATTATGCATATCTTTGAAGTGCTTGTTCTAACATGAGAAAATCAAAATATTAAGTATGCATGTGTATTGTAGACGAAAGGGGAATAAAGCCATGCATCTGATACTACTCAAAACTTTGTTGCAATTAATTTGTATGCTAGCTTTATAGCATTTATTTAGCATGCTGTACCCATTGCTTTATATAGAACTTCAACTAATTTAATTGCGTATTACACATCTATTAATTTGCTGAGGAAATACCGCAAGTGTTTGAGCACCGAACACTTTATTTCAGGTGGTGTATTTGCAGTATCGGAATGTTACAGTAAATTTCTTACACTTAAAGCTAAATTGTCCATTAACTGTCACTTCAGTTCCTTCAGACTATGCGTGTAGCAAACCAGTAGTGCTGGAGAGAGGCAATCTTCTCTTATAAAATGTATTAAAACCAGAAGAATTTTCATTTCCTATAGTAAATTCTCTTTAGGTACCGGGAAGTAAAAATGCATGACGAACGTTTCGCTCTGTACCTTGCCCGTTAACCAAAAGTGACTTCTAGCTGGGAAATTTGCCATCACAAGAAAATAAATTTTTTAAGAAGACAAAATATTTGCTTTTCACTGAAATGGACGTCAAACTGGAATTTGGGATGTGGGAGGAAAGCATTGCAGAGTCAGAGCTTTTTTCCTACCATTGGAATATTGGTGTGCTCACGCTTGCTGGTTATTGACTAGTGGCATAAGCTGGTCACATACAGGAAGGTGTCACTTCTGTGCTACAGTTTTGTCTGTGACCCAGTAATGACTTTCGAGGAAAAAAAAAAGCTTGATGGGCACTGACTTTTATTAATCTTAAAATGTCCCTGTTCACTTTAGGTTGTAACAGTATTTCATATGTTGAAGAAAAACATTTTTTTTTGTTATGAAAATAAATGCTTCAGTATACTTGAATTAGGATAACGTAGGTAGGAAGGTAAAGCCATTGTTGTTTATACTTATTGCTAAATGGATGTTAGAAAATTCTGACCATCAGAATGTGCTCCCAGAGCTTTTAATTTTTCTAGATGGTTAGTGATAGGCTTGTACTAGAAGTTATTTAAATGTTTGCAATATCTGTATTGAACCGTGTGAAATTGGAAGTTTGACTTGTATCTCAGAACACTCTCTTTGGTTTACTGATATGTATTGGGGCTGGTTTGAAAAGGCGTATGCTCCTGACTGCTAATCTTGCAGCTGTGCGCTGTACGTGCAAGAATGATTTTCCATCACAGTACGAGATCAGCAGGATGGTGAGGAGCTTCGAAACGAAACAGAGTAAGGCTGTAGTGCTGGTGCCTATGTAACATACTCTGCCTACAGCATGTTTATGAAAATAACTATCCTGTGGGCATGTTCTTTTAGGGGCATTTAGGCTGACACTAGGTCTTTGATCGTCATGCTTCTCTTCATTTCAGAGGCAGAAAGCCTGAACTGTCAATGAAAGAGTTGGTCAACCCCTTCAGAGTTCCTCCGTTAATACTTTCACAGTATTGTGCAGTTCAAGCTATCGTAACATTTTGTTGCTGTTTTCTGTAGTTGAAAGGTTGCTCAATCCTGTGTCTCTTACTATGATGGAAAAAACAAAACATAATTCACATAACCCTTTTTGGCTCCTGGTCTTGTTGAGAGCCATCCTGGTTCAGGCGTGTGGTTGTCCTGTGCTCTGCGTCGGACACTTCCACAGCTGAAAGCGTTTTATTAAGAGGGAATGACTGAAAGTATCCTGCTCATCACCTTCTGTTTAATTACTTTTTGATCTGTGTGTTATTTTCTGCCTGCTTATATCACCTGAGGGCCTAAGCGAAAATAAACTTGGAAGGAAACCACGAGAAGACGTGTGTGCCTCTCTTAAGGGCTGCTTTGCTGGGTAAATAACCGGGCTTAAACTTCACGACGGTTGCTGAAGGGCGCCGGGGCTGGGGTTTGGGGTGATGTTTTACTACATGTTTGTATTTTGATGTGTGTGTGTGTGTGTGTGTATATATATATATTTTATTTTTTTTAAAGCTGCCTTGGACATGCACTAAACCAGCGAGGCGGGGACGACTGCTGTGAGAAGAGGCAGTGCTCCGGGTTCGGCGGGGGGGTGTTGTTTT